AACGCAGCATCATCGAAAGCCCGAATCAGCGACGGCGTGCTCTTCCCCAGCGCAGCCATCGCCCTGCAGACACGCATGGAAGAGACTTCTCGAGCAGCGGCGGGCTGTTCTGGCGGGCGTTGTGACGGAGCTGTATTGGAAATGTTAAGCGGGATATTGGGTTTGTGGTGAGCGTGGCCCCTGGTGGGGAAAGGGCGGGAGGAGGGGGGTGGTGGTGGTGGGGATGGGGATGGGGATGGGGATGGGGATGGGGATGGGGATGGGGATGGGGATGGGGATGGGGATGTGTTAAATGTGGCGGGTAGGGAGGTGTTGGAGGAGGTGTTCGGGAGATTGGGGGTGTTGGAGGAGAGGGCGGAGAGGGTGCGTAGGGCGGTTCAGTGAGGGGGGTGGTTGGGTGAGGCGATGGTACCTGGGGGATTGGGTGGCTGGGGTTGGAGAGCTGGTAGAGGCGGCCCTGTTTGGGTTCGTCCATGGCTTCATAGTTGAGGTGGATACGAAACAGGCAGCAGAATGCCCAACCCTTCTTGTGTACGTGTACTTGTTGTACTGCCACCACACAAGCCGATGCCATCCAATGTTTGGTATTCCGCCTCGTACGTCCTTGTTCTTTCTGGGCGGTTGCCCTCACGTGAAGCCGCCACTCACACCATGGTATTACCATGTGATGGGAACCTCGGAGCTTAGGCCGGATGAAGGACCCTGTGTAGGTAATGGAGTGAACTCGGCGCTGTTGATTTGTCCTCTGAAGGCTCAGTAGACACGTGAGCGGGAACGTTGTCTTGACGGTCTTTATAGATCTGCCGGCATTTTCCGATCCATACCATTAGAGATAGCAGGTGTAAGTCATTTGCAATGGCCAGTGATCTCTGCACGGATTGTGTACCGTGTAGAGCGAGTGGCAAGACTGATTCAGTTCGAGCGTATGAACACATCAGGAACTACCAGCGCTGTGGCCACATGAAGCATCTCCCCCGAGATGAGTTGTCCGCTTCCACGTGGTACCATGCCCTCCACCACCAGTGGTTGTCTATAAAGTGTTCAAACATCCCTCCTCCAGTGCACACCACTCAAGCAAGCACCCAATCTTTTAAAAACACACCCGGCTTTCCAGAAACTACAACTCTCTACGTTTGCAACACTTCTCCATCCTGCTTCTCTATCCTACACGGTGATTACAAAAATGGCAGAGTGAGGACGGTCTACCCCTGTCGCCTTGGATGGAAGCTGATAGTCATGATAGGGTAGCTTCATTTTACCGGCCCGATGCCTACAACACACTCCCGAGTCTTCTCAACGCCAGCCACCAGCTCAACGAGTTGGATGGCATATCCACGGTGTCTGGCCCCATCCGACAACTCTTCCTGGACCACGGCGTCCAAGAGCGATTCGGCGTTATCCTGCTGCACAAGCACCTGGACATGGAACCAACCGAGCGTCTGGTCGAGTGCGGGTGCACTTCCAGCCCGTGGGACGTTGGCGACGCTACCAGCCCTGTCGTCAACAAGTATGAGGGCACCATCGTCCCCCGATCGTTCCGGCTGATGGACGGAAGCTTCGTCCCCTACGAATTCGGATATCTCCACGAGGGACAGCACCCGGCCTCGGAGGAGGACAGCGATGCCCACTTCTTGCAGGAATTTGGCAGGTTTCTGGGAGAACATCAGCTTGACCGGGTCATTGGCCTCCGCGACTTGGACCAGCATGATCCGAAGCTGAACGTCGAGGTCACCGAAGGCAGGGCCAACATCATGATGCCGCGAGGCAGTGTGCCGGAGAGCGAGCTGATCCCGGCAGTTTGGACCTTTGGACTCGGCGAAGACGATAGCTGCAAGTGCCGCGGGTATTGCTATTATAGGGGCTCAGATCACACCGGCCAATACAGCCATACCTGCCAAAGGTAGCTAGGGGGGTGAATCAGGATGTATCTTGAGGGCACTTGACTTGGCTGGTTCGGGTCCTTGGGCTTACGTATAATGGTAGTTAGTCGCACAGGTTGCTTGACAATGCCTACCAATGTATTGCGTTTCCAATTCAATGCTGAAATCCCTGTTGTGCTCAGCGTGGATGAGTAAGAGTAAAAGGAAAAAAAAAAAAAAAAGAAAAAAAAAGAAAAAAAAAAGAAAAAAAAAGAAAAAAAAAGAAAAAAAAAAGAAAGAAAGAAAATGAGAAAGGAAAGAAGGGATGTAAAAAAGAACAAAATTCTCTAAACCTCAATATTATTATTATTATTTCCTACACCGATATGCCCTGGGGCGCGCCGGTCCTTCTACTGCTATTTACAAAGGAAACCGTACCGGATAGGCCGGATAAAAACCTCTGTCTACCACTTTGAGACAACAATCTATGAATCCGTCATACTGCAAAAGAAAGGAGGCCCTTTGCCGGCCTCCGGGCCCTCTAGCCCTCCCCATCCACTGTTTCTAGCTCCAGCCTTCTGGCCAGGCTATACTCCAGTAGCCGGCCAGAGTCCATCAGCCAGCCAAGGACCTTCCTAACAAATCTTCTGCTCCGGGCACCTACTCCCCGTAATACGGTTTGTGGGTCCCGATGTGACCGAATCTCTCTGCCGTCCCACGGCCTTTGTAACGGCGGGTCGGGGCACCAAACCACCAAGTGCTCCACTGTCTCCCTGCCCCTCCCGCACTCGCAATAGGGGGTACGGACCTCCGGGACTTTCACCCTGAACAGGTAGTCCCGGAGGCCTATATCCCCGATACGGGCCTGGGAAAGGAGGGAGCTCTGCGCCTTTGTAAGACCTTCGTGTCTCATCAGAGCTTTGTCGGTAAATAAGAGGGCTGGGGGGTCTTCGTCGGCTATCCTCCTGTTTAATACCCTCTGTCGAGTAGTACTTTGTTGACTAGCTCTCTGTTGTTCCCACCGGGCCTGCCAGGCCAGTTCGACCACCTCCTTGGTATTCGACCCCCTGTCCTTCCCCCCGATCTTCCATTTGTAGTTAACCCACTGGGCCACTACACTAGCGGCTAGTTCAGTGGGCGTGGGACTCTGCGGGCCCTGACGGGGCCTCCAGCCTCGGGTTTTCCTCCTCTTGTTGAACCTTCGGTAGACCTTATTGCAGGCCTCAGTAATTAGATGCCCCGTGGTTATTCTCTCAGCCTCCGGCCCAGCCCCTGACTGTAGGGCCTGCTTCTGTAGCCGGCCCTCGAAGTCGGCCAGCCGCTTGTTGAGATATAAGTCTAGCGGTGGCACCCAGGCCTCTGTTTCTAAGCACCGAATAGGAGCTGACTTGTATGCCCCTACTACTATTCGAAGGCTCCTGTTCTGAGCTTTTGACAAGACCTTTGCAGGCCCCTTCGGCCCTGTAGCTCTTGGAGCTGTTGGTTGGTGGAAGCTGGAGGCTCCGTAAGCTATGGCACTGCGGATGCACTTTACGTAGACCTCCCGAGCCCTGGATAGGCTCGGGCCCCACGTCTTTGCTGCAATCCTCGATAAGGCGAAATCTTGGGTTTTGAGTTTCCGTTCCACAGCTTGTTGGTGCGCCCTCCATGATAGCTTCCAGTCCAGCCAGACTCCTAGAAACCGAGCCGATTCCACTGGCTTAACTGTGCTGTAGCCACTAGCCCCTGGGTGGGCCAGGGCCACCGGGTTCTCCCACTGTCTCCGACCTTTGTTGAAGTGAATTGATTCGCACTTTTGAGGTGCAAACGCCATCCCCCGGGTACCAGCCCACTGCAAGCAGGTCTTCCAAGCTTTTTCTAGTTGCTGTGTATTGGCTTCTGGGTTCTTTCCAAAAGAGCTAGTAAATACATGAATGAGAACCCCCTTTTCTTTAACTATACCAAGCTCCCGCTATAAATGCCAAGCTCCTCAAAGCTTACCGAAGTATAACTACCTTTAAGTTAACTAGTTATTGCAATAGAGGAATTAATATGGCCCGAGCACCCTCCTCCTGATGCGCCCTTGGAGCAGATACAAAGGATATCTGCCCGCCTGGAGATTGAAATGCGGCATCTCTTCGAAGAGTTCATTGCAAATCCCCCACGGCTTCCGAGGTTAGGGAGATGCAGAAGGCGCTTTCCGAAAGGGGGTTGCAATGGATAACTAGAGGTTTTTATCCAGCTTATATAATAACTACCATGGTTTCCTTCATATATAGCTGTATAGTTCCAAAGTTCTACCTGGCAAAGGTGGTATAGGAATGGGTATGAACTTGCCCGGCTGCCCCAGGCATGGGCTGACTGCCTACCTAATAAGGAGTTTTAACTATCGACAACATGGGCGCCTCACTAAGGTAACTTTGGTAGGGTCTTGGGTATTCTTTAGGGCCCTGCCCAAGTTCTACCAGTTCTTATTCTACTACTTGTACTTGCCCAATGTACCAGCCATTTTTGGGTATCTTTCTGTGGTTCCAGCCCTACTTCAACAAACGATAGAAAAACAAAGCAAAAATAACCAATCCAACCAAGAAACGCCGAGCAACTCCCCAGTGCCAGCACTGTTTTGCCGATATCCAGGGGCTAACCCTTCCTAATTTTGCTCCTGAAAGCTAACCTCGCCCTGCTTAGGCCAGTGGTCGAAATGACAGCTTGCGTACCATCCGGTGGCGGCTGCTGTATTGGACCGGGCTGTAGTGAGAGACCACGACCTGCTGACCGTCTTGGAGATCCCTAGCCTCTCCAACGGTAGAATGCCGATGGTTCCATTTATGCAGTCTCATAGATTCTGTCGCCGCGGCTGTTCTTGTAGTACCAGTCGCCCCTGCTGTCTTGTTTCCAGTCTACGCCACTGGACTTCTTTGGCTGGATGGATACCTTCTTAGGCTGGGTGACGGATGCTTTCTTAGAGGGGGGCTTCTCATACACCCGGTCGCCCCGGCTGTCCTTATAGTACCAGTCGCCTTTGCTGTCCTGCTTCCACTCTGGCTGAGCGGATGTCTTCTTAGGCTGCGTGACGGATGCCTTCTTCGCCGCGGGTTTCTCATACACCCGGTCGCCCCGGCTGTCCTTGTAGTACCAGTCGCCTCTGCTATCCTGCTTCCAGTCGACCTTGCCCCCTATCTTCATGTTCGTCATCATCCCGGGCAGGTCCGCGGCCGGGTTCGCGCCGCCGCCCCCTCCCCCGCCACCGGTCCGTCCGCCGCCACCAGCATTCGCTCCGCCACCACCGCGGCCTCCTCCACCACCGTACCCTGCACCGCCACTCGCTCCGTAGCCCTGGCCTGCCCCTCCAGCACCACCACCGCCGCCGCCGCCGCCGCCGCCGCCTTGTCTGGCCTCGCGGGCCGCTCGGGCTCGTTCGGCCTCTTCTTCCTCGCGGATCTTGGCCGGGGTGCATACACGGACTCGCAGGTGAGGCAGGACCACCTGACACACGGGGATCTTGGGTCTGTTGGACTCGCCCTCCGCGCACGGCTGTTGCAGGGCTGCGATGGGGTAGTATTTCCGGCTTCGGACGCCAAAGACGGCAATCTGCGGGACGAGGGCGCGGCCCTGGCTGTCGAGTGGGAGGTAGCCGTTCGTGGTGATTCGGACCTTATCCGGGTCGGTGTCGTCCAGGCGGCCGTTGTAGGCCTCAAAGTCGAAGCAGACGCCGTCTTCGCAGTGTGTCTGGTTCGGGTTGTTGTTGTTGGCCGCGTACCACGCCGGCGCAGTGCGTCTGCCGGTGTTGGCGCTCTTCATGAAGGTGGCCTTCTCGCCCCTGCAGATGGAGGAGTAGTAGATGGCGCCCCCGTGGATCCCGGGCATGAAGAGCGCCGCCGCCAGCAATGCCCCGTCGTCGGTTCCGGGTTGGGTCCAGGCCTGCTCGCCCTCTTCGAGGAGCCACTCGTAGGCTCTTCTCGCTTCGTTGCGGAGCGCCCGCCACGGAATGCTTTCGGTGTAGTTGACAGTTTTGGAAAGATGCCATGTCGCCCCGCCCGTGTTGGCACTCCCCGTTTTGTGCATGGTAAAGGAGGACGCCATGGTTTATAGTGAGGTTTGGCCGAAGATGAGGGGTGAGCTGATTGTAAACGTCGGGCGAATGGATTTGAGGTGGTTCAATGTGTGTGATTGTTTGCGACAGTCGTCCGGCGACTGAGTTTGAGACAGAAAGGCGGAATACCACACAACAGAAAATGAACCAAGTGTGGCTGGACGAGCAGGCTGTGGTTGTTGTTACTGTGCTTGTGGATGCTGGCTTCTGTTCAAGGTTGGAGGGGCAGAATGGGTTGACTTATACCCCTTCAGCCCCAGTGCCAACATCGCGAGCGAACCCCATAATAAATCTTGTTTCCTTTTCAAGCCCGGGTCGATACCTGGGTGCCCTAGACTGCACCGAGACAGGCCGGATTCCTGCTCGAAACTGGGCGACCTTGAAGGTTAGGTGTCGGTGAGGCCAGAGCAAGGCTTGTCACACAAGCAAGGAAGCCAAGTCTGAAGGCTTAGTGGCTTGACTTGGCCCAGATTTGGCCATACTTGAACTTGAGTTACTTGAACTTGATCAACCAAGTTGGGTCAAGTCAAGCCTCCACGCCCCATCGCCCTAACCAACCACCACCATAACCCTCTGATCCTCCTGGCCTTGTGGTGGTCCTGCCAGTGGGCTTGTGGGTGGCGTAAGTCAGGGGCTAAGGGTTACACAGGGCAAAGGGTGTATAAGCTGTAGTTGGGGGCCGGGTATATTGCAGTGCCAGCCGTGCACTCTCTTGCATGTGGCTAGTGGCTCGTAGACTGTAGTGGCTGTTAGGTATCTGATTGGCTTAACTCAAGTTGTCTACTTATGTACCTACCTAGGTAAGGTAGGTAGGTACATGTAGCCAACTGACCCAAGTCAAGTACGGGGCATTACTTGCTTGACTGGATGTCTGCATGTAATTTGACTTGATTTGACTTGATTTGGCTCGAATTGGTCAAGAATAGGGTGCTTACAGGTAGGTGGCTTGCAGCGAGCCTTGGGGTTGCGGCAATGCGCGTGCCATGGAAGTGGCACAACCTGGCCCAGGACCCGGCTAGAGGATCAGTTGAAGCTCGGATCGTTGAAATCTGACCACAAAGATGGGGGCCAATCTGGTCTGAAGGGCTATTTTCATCCAAAAGCTAGGTCCTTGGCAATTCAAATTGATTACAGATCCTAATAGTGATCATACCAAAGGTAAGGTACCTACCGATTCAATGGCTCGCCGCGGCGTCTTCCGTAGTATACTGTATGCTGTATTATGTTGGCCGGTGAAGTCTAAGGTGATGCCATACCTGACTTGACTTAACACGGGGTAATTCTTGAGAAGTTTCATGTCTTGCATTTATTTGGCCGCACAAGCGATCGTAGGGTTCAATACGAGTTCGATTTCTTCGATTTGTTGAATGAATTCTTCGTTCTGTGGGTGGGGTTTGCAGGCACTGCCCGGGACTGGAGTGATGATCTCCCAAGGAGCCTGGAAGTGATGATCATGGGACAATCACACCGAAGCTTGATGTTATCGTGGCAAAATACATTGAAGAGAAAATATATCATCTGGACTCAATTGGCCCAGCCATTGGGATAGAGTCAGACTACAATCGCTTTTCAATTCCCACCGGGCACGCGCTTGATTACCCAGCTGAGCCCAGGTAGGTACCTAACCCTAACCCAAGCAGTGGCTGAGCCCCAAAACCCAATTTCCTCTCGAAACTGTGTCACCATACCTGCCACCGTGCCACGCTTTGTGGAGTTTTGACGACGGCGCCAAATCCTGCGAAGATGACATCGCAATCCCACGACCCCGGCCGTAACCATCCCGCTCTTCTGCGCCTCCCCTCGTCTGTTCGGCGCCGCATATACTTGTTCCTCGGGCTTGGCGAGCTGGGACGGACACCCGCTCCTGTTTGATCTCGACGGCCCCGTCTGGGAGCCCGAACAGGTCACATTCTATGGCCTGCTGCTTTCTTGTCGCACCATATACAACGAGGCGTCGGCATTGCTATTTTCGTCCAACAGATTCGTCATTCACTACACGAACAAGCGGTCGCTGCAGCCGCTGCGCAATCTCACGCCCCCGTCGCTTGCATCCCTCACCAGCCTCAAAATAGTGCTCAACCAAACCTCCTGCCACCACCGCAGGGAAGTGGAGACCTTCGGTAAATGCTGCACCACCGCTAGGGTTAAAAGGACGGCCGCCGAGGGGTGCTGTCGGAGTGACGACGAGCATCTGCACGACACTCCGCTTCAGAGCTCCGGCTCGTCAGCGAGATTGATGCTTGATGAATGGCGTGGGACAGCCGCCTACTTGTCCTCCAACATCAAGCCCGGCGCTCTTCAGCTCTTATTGGTCTGCGATTTTGGCCAGAAAGAAGTCGAGGCAGCAGAACAGGCTGTTGCACCACTTCCTTCTCCTCCCAGAGCTCAAAGGACTGCCATGTTCGACTTCTGCAGTAGCCCCGAATACCCAGGCTGCGCCAACTCGCCCGGAGTGCAGCACTACAAGCCAGCCGTAAAGCTAGCCCCGGAAGCCCGCGTCGTCACAATCGTCGTTGCTCTATCTAGCCTTTCTTAATTCTTCCGCGGGAGCTACGCATTCGCATCCTCGAATACACTGACCTTGTAGTCTCCGTGGAAGGAGGTTCATGTGGAACAGGCTGGAACTAGTGGCTATCAATATCTCTGTTCAGGATGCTCCGCATGGGAAGGCTTGTCTTGTCCCCCTTCTCATCACCATGGATGCCAGTATGGGGGTTGCCACCGTCAAGCAAATATCCAAAACGGTCTTGTGCGGTACCATCACCCATCCATCGGGTGTTTCTGCCGCGTCCGGCATGCTGCCTTTTCATCCACCTGCAAATGCTGGGCTCCGCCTACGCCTCTGTTTCTGATCTGTCGCCATCTTTGTGAGGATGCAAGATACGTTTTCTTTTCCGCGAATCGATTCGTCGTCAGTGATTCTCTGGCATCCGGCAACCCCTGGATAGCTTTCGACGTTTTGCGCACCCTCAATTTTGAATCGCCAGAGCAGCAGGGCAACTACTGGGAGACAGAGGAGTACCGACAGGCGCAACCCCCGCGAGCGTACCCAGCCCACCGTTTTGCAGCGAGTCAGTTCTTGAGGGAGGTGGTCCCCGCCGACTGTTTGGGCTATCTGCGCTTCCTCGAACTGGTCTTTCCTCCCTACAATCACGAGTGCTGGCCACATGATGGCCACCCCGCTCTGCAGGACTGGATTGATACCCTCGATTGGGTTGAGGACAAGATCAACACTCCCGCCATCACACTGCGCCTCACCATGGCCGGTTTGAGGGGGTGGTCTCCTGCATATCCTGACGGCCGTGAAGAACTAACCCAGGCCCAAGGAGACGCAGTGCTGGCCGGATACGACCGCATCCTGAGGCCCCTAGCTCGTCTCGGCAAGCACGGCCTCACTCGGTTCTACGCGGATTTTGCATGGCCTTGGAAATGGACCAACTGGGTGGGAGAGAGGCTTTTGCGTGACTACGCAGCCAACCGGTCCTGGTTAAGGGAACAGGAAAAGTCGTTGAACGAGCGCGCCGAGCGCCTCATATTGGGGGACCAGCATGACCGGCTCCGTTCTCACGAGGGCGAACCAGAAGAGAGTCCTTGGAAGATACACTGCGAGCCACTCTATTAGCGCCTTCCTCAGCCTTGAGAAACGATAGTCCCGCATCAAGTTATCGAAACCGACATCTTTCATCATTGCAGTCCAGCGTTAAGAGGGCCTCGGGGCAGCACCACAGCGCCAATAAGCCAGAAACACCGTCCAATTGGTTTTATCCCGCCTAAACGCACGGATTGGCTGTTTCACTACCGCCCTTCGAGACCTCGTCCCAGTCTGCACAGCTTTCCAGTTTACAGAAGAGACGGGGAGAGGGCGAACCAGCCAGGACCAAACAGTGGATGCTTGGCCGGTTCTGGCGTCAAAAATATAAGATAGAAAGACAAACGGGATTCCACACCGTATGTCTTGAAAAGATATGAGCCCTTGAGAAAGAAATACAGTCTCTCATCTGGTTCCTCCGAGCGCCGCCCACCTGCGTGGCAGCCGTGCTTTGTCAGCCAGGCCGCATGATGCCGGTTTTTATGAGCATTCATCGACGATGACGGTCGACAAACCGGGAACAATGGGAGGTGCGAGGAACCCCAATCTACGCCTGGTTGCGCCGCTTTGCTAGGGAGCCCCAGGTTGAAGAAAACGAATTCCTGGATTTCGGGAGTCTGCCTTCCATCTCGAACCAACCGCCCGGGACTGGGACGCTCATTGGAGGGCGAGCAAGGTGGGGTCGCGGATTCCTCAGATGAATGGGAGGGAGGGTGACTGAAAATGGCGCCCCTGCCCGCCAGAACAGCAAATTGTGTAACGAGCTACTGGCACACAATCCATGGAACTGGAGTGGCAGCGAACCCTTTACCTCGGCCCCCAGACCTCAAATGTGGTGACCAGCCCACATTATCATATTATGAATCTATACTGAGAACTTTCAGGCTCACATTGTCGAAAATTCGAAATCAAGCCTCCCATCCTTAGCATCACTTGACTGCCCGTCTGCCCGTGTCACCATCAAATCAAGTCACAAATATGCCGAAGCGTCAAAGGACACCAACAAACCCACTGGAGGTTGCCAACCGCAAAACCGACGAGGAGTTTATTACCGACTATCTACAGCCGGGGTGAGTACCAAATGCTGCATGCGTATTCAATGAGACTGGGGGCTTTGTTACTGGCAACATGCAGCTGACACGTACTCTTAACAGCGCCGGTAATCTCCCCCCTGGTGTGCAGCCATGGACGACAGCATGGACACACCCAAAGACAGGCACCGAATACACAGTCAGCTTGGTGCGGGTAGAGAGCCTCTCAGAGCCCGATTTCAGGGCCTGCTTCCAGCTCATAGAGCAGACGAGCCGGGCCGACTACGAAAACTCAACGGCCGGGTGGAACGCGAAGAAAAAGGCCATCGAGATGAAGTCACCAGGGCTACGCTACATCCTCGTCAAGCGGAAAGACACAGCCGCCCTAGAGGGCTTCACCTCGCTCATGCCGACCTACGAAGAAGGCCAGCCCGTCATCTACTGCTACGAGATCCATCTCCAGCCATCACTCCAGGGGTAACGTACCCACCCCACCAACCCTACCAGCCGACTGGAGCTAATTGAGACAACAGAACCGGCCTAGCCCCCCTCCTCATGAACTTCCACTCCACCATCGCGACCAACCTCCCGCCCATCACCAAGGTCATGCTGACTTGCTTCCTGGCCAACCAGCGCGGCCTGAACTTCTACACCAGGCTCGGCTTTGAAACCGACGACATCTCCCCCGTACCGAGGCAGCTGCGCTATGGAAAACTATTCACTCCGGATTATCGCATTCTGAGCAAGCCGGTTTGGGCGGGGGGTGAGGGGGATGAGGGGGGGCCTGCGATGAGGTCGGGCGCTAGGCATCTCTGATTATGGTTGGCGCTGTGAGGCTGTTGAGGGTGTCTTGTGTGCACGGAGCTGCCAGCGCTTGACCTTCTCGGGCCCGGAGAAGCGTCCGATGGGGGCTAGCCATGCCGGGGTTTGTGGTAATCCCGGCTGGTCACTGATCATGCCGGCGGCGAAAAAAGCGGTCGTGGATGTCGAAGACCGAGTTTGGCATATTTTGTTGTTGCCGATGAGGGAGAACGGTGCTCTTAAATAGAGGTCCTGCTTTAGAGAGATATTCTAGACAACCTATTTATATTCCATGCCTCCCTAAGAGCAGCCCCTGGGCGGTCTTCGAGTGGCAGATCCACGATTCCATTTTGACATCGTGGTAAAGTTCTGGGCCACCGGTTCATGGGCTCCTTGGTTGCTTCTCATCCTTCCTAGAAAACTGAACTGAAAACGAAAACAAGAAAAAAGGAGGGAAGAGATGGACCAAAACAAATGATAAAAGAGGCAATCTAAAGTAACATAAAAAAAGGGAAGAAAGGAAAAAATAGAAGGATACTGTGAAAAGAGGACGTAACAAATAACTAATCGTTTGCCGATCGAAGCCGGCCCTGGTTGGGCCGGCGAAAGGAGAATCGCTACCAGATGTAACGCAAATGCACTATGCAGAACTGAATGTGTGAAGAAGGTTGTTCTCTTGCTGGTTTGCGATAGTGGGTGAAGGAGTTGGGGAGAGGAGAAAAAATAAAGGAAAAAGAAATTGGGGAAGGAGATTGAGAAAAAAGGAAGGTGAATACGGACGGATTCTTTGTGGTTTTGGATGGCGTTTTTTCTGTTCTTACAAGACGAGTTTTGATCGACACCGACGCCTGCAAGCTCTGTCCTGTAGGCTGTATAATTCAGAAGTCGGAAGAGGGCGGCAACGACGGCGCAGGTGGCTTTATAGCACGACCAAGAATCGTCACGGGATCAATGCAACAATAACTGAGCAAATAAGGACTTTGGCACAAAGAAATTGTTCTCAGATTATCTCCCAGAGTTTCGGAGTGAAGTGATTATGGGCTTCGGTTGCCTGTGTGGCTAGAGTGAGGCGGAAGCTAATACATGTAACAAACCTGTGGCGCATATTTTGTGGTGTTTGGATTCACCTCGTGTATTCTGGAACACAGAATGTGTGTATTGTAAATTTATTCCAAATGCTGCAAGTCCAATCCATCCCTAATTTCTTAATAACCATAGAGTTGGGCCATTTGCCTGTACCCATATGACCGCATCTTCATTGCGCAAGCCGCCGAGGCATGATCGGCAGAATTCTGAGAGTTTTGCGGTTGCGGCGACATTTCCACCGACGCGATCCCCGGCACCAAAACCCGACGGTGCTCTACCAGGGTCGACCCATCATCAACCGGAGTCGCCGTGTTCATTATCCAAAGCTCCGAAGCCACGGCTGCCACATCCCGTTCCTCTTCACGCCACCATCCAGCCACCTCAGCCAGGGTCAATCCAAGCCATTATCGGCGAGCAGTGCCGATCTCGCCTGTACGTCCCTCCGATTGCCTGGACATCGAACCAGCCACGGCTTCTAGGATGTCACTTTGTTTTTGAGACGTTGCGGGCAAGGGGGGAGAGACACGGCGGTGCAGAGAGGGAGAGCACAACCCAGCAGCGAACCGAGGAGTACCAACAGCGGATTCTTGCCGCAGCTGGTCTACAAGGGCCGGCGATAGCGTCGTGGTGGAAAGCGGCCGTTGAGGACTTTCTTAGAACTTACAACATTTGCCCGCTTAGGTATGCACATAAATCCCTTTGCACGTCGTTCCTGCTACTAACATTCCCGAGATCCGACTCAACCCTACCCTTTCGGCTTGGTGGCCGTGTTGTTGCCAAGATTAAAACCGATGGAATTTTCTCCGCTGGTTCGACAGCTCCCTTTCTCGTCTACATCAACCTTGAGACAATAGATGCACTTCGCGAGAAGCATGTTCACTCTCGGTCTCGGCTCGGCCGGCGACACAGCTTTCCTGTTGCAATCCTCAAACAAAAGAAGCTGCGCTCCCTCCAGCCCCAGCACAAAACGGAAGACCCGTACATTCTGGCCGCTCTAATTGCCTTGGCTCAAGAGCAGCAATTACAGAGCCGACAGGCAACCAACGGGCGGACAATAGACGCGCAAGCCCAAATTTCCTCGTCTGGCGAGGCAGAGGCGTCCTTGCATGATAGTACTTCTTTCAAGGTATTTCCTCCTCTGAATTAAGCTTCTTCATTCTCTAATCAAAGCCACAGGTCCAAGTGCTGGTCGTCCCTGGTGCAAGAGCTCAAGTTATCCACGTATACAAGGCTTCTATCCCCTCAGGGTTCCTTGACAACTTTCAGAAACCGTCGCAGTTTTCGCCAACCTCTCCGATTCTGGTCTCGTACTATTCACTTTCTCTCAATGAGCCAGAAGAGTTGGTGAATCAAATACCTCTCGTGCTTAGAGTTCCCGTCGATGAACAAGGGGACGAAGGGGAGAATCCTGGCACCGGTAGCAGAGAGCATATAGTCGCTCACTAGCGTCTAGCGCCGTAATAACCGCACCGGACAAGTTGCCACATACTCAGAACCGAAGAAATGTAGACTCAGATACCATGTACTGATTATCCCTGCGGTTCTCACACAACCGTATCGCAGTTGCCTATTTTGTAGCTGGTGCTATTAGTATATGACCTGACAAAGAATGGTGGCGTTTCTCGTGCGCAGAAAGACATGTTTGAGAACGCAAGAACCGTCAGGCTTTCAAGTCGGGCGTATTGGTGATTTTAAGGCGAGCCTCTTGCTGAGCTGAAGGATATTATAATCAACCCATCCCGCATCAGTCCACCTTGAATCTCGATTCCTTCGATAAACTCAATGTTATTTGACACCTTAAACCAACTGATTGGGCTGAGCAGCGGCTCCTAAAGGGTCACCATATCCTGCTACCTGCCGTTATGGGGGGTCGATCGGCGTCGGCTCCGGCCATGTTCGGCGGCCTGTTGGTAAAGCCCGAAGACCAGCACCCTCGCCGCCTTCAATGGTGGGCTTGACAATTTCATGGCTTAACGCACCAAACTCACTCCCAGTACACGTGCGCCAAGGAATTATGGTTCTTATGCCTGATTTACTCGTTTCTCAAGTGTAGTTTGCTCACCAGATCCCGCACCGAATCTGGATCCGTGCCAAAACGACCTAATCAACCTCCGGCTCAGCCTAGTCAATCAACCGCCATCAAACACCGATCTTCTTGTCTCACCATGATATTGCAGTCGCCCAGGTCCTTATGCAGTAGCACCATAGGCAACGCCAAAACATCCGGCGGTGACGCGAGCACGTCACGAAAGACTCGGTGGAACCTCCCAGGCATAGCGCCTAACAGGAGTCGCAGCTCAGCCGCAAACATATGCAACACGCGAGGGTGGTAGGATTGACCCAACCTCCTATAATCCGCTAGGACTGCCCGGGGCTTGGGGCGTCTCTCTCGACCAGCTCCGCAGCCCTGTCCTAGGCCGCCGCGTACTGTGGTGCCTACGCGGGATCTGAGTAAGTAGGGGTCCAATCATTTTACGACTTGTCTGCATTCAGATCCGAGTATGATCTGCGTTGTGCAATAATCTTTGTACTCTATGGTAAGCGCTAATTGGTTTTTATTACCAAAGGCAGCTTGATAGGGTCCTCGTCACGCCGTCGTGCGCAACATCAGCCGCGGGCAATCCGACAAGTCACTACCTTACTATTAGGGAACAAGAAGGTATAAATCGAGCAACTCTCCCATGCTTCATCGAGTTTATAGAAGTAGATCAAGCAGTCCAACAGCGCTCCATTCGCACACAGCCTCAAAAAACTATCATTACGTCTCACCCGGTTCGATCACCCTTTTGCTAAACGCCACCATCATGACGAAGCCCGTTACCATTCTTTTCGCATTGGCGGGGATTCTTCTCCCTCTTGCTGAGGCCAAGGCCTGCAAGGAGGGGCTCGACTACTGTGGCTATAACCTGCTGAAGAGAGGCATGTGCCTCTCCCGCCGGCCTTGCTTTCCATTCAATGCTAATTGTAAGAATCCAGGGGACTATCTCCGCGAGATTGACAACGAGCTCAAGAGAGTCGGGCTTCCCACCCAGGACCCGTATGAGAGACATTCTCTCTTTCATTGTTCCAGTGACGGATGGATTCGCTGGAATGTTTACTGCGGCAACTGTATCGATGGCGGCTCCGGAAAGGATGACTTTTGCAGGTAGTACCTGGCTAGGGGCACTTACCAGGGGGCGGTAGCATTGGGCTCGGGACACCATTAGGCACCAGGGCAGTTCTTGATATTACAAGTTGAATTGAGAAAGTGCTGTGCTGGCCGCCAAACTTCGCTGGACAGTATCGCCGTTTCAACGGCCTCGACAGTGAGGGGCGTGGCACAGGATCCCAATACAGTACCTGTTCCCACCACATCTGCTTGCTTTGCTCTCGTATCTATCACACAACGGCATTTCTTCATGCTGCTATGGGTGGCGTGTTCCTCCAGGCTTCCTTTGGCGCCATCTCTCATCACTCGCTAAGCGTCACCGTTTAGTTACACCATCACCGATCTCACCCACCATAACCTCCACCACCAACAACGATACTACCAATATGGAAGCTCTCTATGGTCGCACCGTCGCCGACGTCTCCTTCCTCACTTACCCAAGCCGAAACTAACCTAATCGAAGATTAGGTCTCGCCCGAGGAAGACGAATATATGTGCCGTACAAAAGCGAATAGAAAGATACGTGTCGAGCTTATTGCCATCGCCACGACAGATCCAGAGCAGCTGATAAAAGTCGATCAACTTGTCCAGCGGAACACAGTTTTTCTTACCGAGCTTTGGAGGGAGGTGCAAAACCCAAACCAACCACCTGATATGATAGAGTTGATCGACCGCCTTCAGCAGTGAGATCGGCTCTTACGAAAAGGGAAATCCCTAGATACAACGAGGCCTATACGGCTGTTTGGAATACGCTTGACGACCAGGTAAGGCTTGCGATTATTGCGGCCCGAGATCGGCTCTTGCAGATTATGGATGAGGAATGGTGTGGGGATAATGGTAAATATCCGCGTAGGATGAGGAGAGGTTCCGGGAAGCCTTGTTGTCCCCGGCAAGCAGGCTTTTCTGTCGGGCGTTTGTCCAGAAGCGGAAGGATCGCGGGCTGACAGGGCACGTAGGGCTGGCTGGCACTGGACGGTGGTGGCTGTGTCTCTGCTGTGATTCCAAAGGCCGTTCTGGCTGCATGCTTGGCAGCTTGCCGATCCCCGTCAGCAGGAAGATAGAAGTCACAGCATTGGCTGGAGATCGAAACTCCAAACTGTCAAGTTTTGCCTAGATTCGGAAAGGTGCATGCTTACATGCTGTTCGGGCGTCATTGTACATGTATTTAAACTTGACCATTATGATTCATTTCGGAATTTCCTGGATGTTGTTCGAACTCAGGATTCTTGAGATTTAGTTAAGAATTCACTGAAGCCTTACAGTCTTATTACTCCCCACTGCCGTCGAGCTCGCCTTTTTTTATTGAGACCCGTCACCACCACAACCCCCAGACCCAGCCATACTATCACAGCCATGGAACAAAAACAGGAACATGCCTACACTAGCGCCTGGAAGAGCCCCCTTATGCGGTGCTCGCCCTGCGGACCCCTGTGGAAAGCGATCTGCTGGCCGTGCACCTGTATGTTTGAGTCTAATACCTCCTTAACTCTAAACTGACCACGCGCTAGCGTACGCCGAAACGGAGCAGCTCCTACGCGACCCGTCTGTGCCGGTCGAGAAGAACAGCCGCGACTGCGTCGAGTTTGGGCGTGACTTTTGCATTGGGACGTATGCCAGGTAGGTTTCCCTTGGCTCTCCGTTTCTATCCTCCCTCCTTGCACACAACCCTCGGCCTCCATCTACGCCAACCCTTTTTACAGCAGCCCATTATACCACCCCTGGAACCCCCTTACCCAACTGTCCCCTACACCAAGCTCCAAGCCCTCTCCCAACCTCACCACCCTCCCCAGCCCACAACCCCGCAACCTCAACATACCCACGCACCCATGATCCCATCCCCTCCACCCCAACACCCAGCCCACATACACGCACCCCCAAGTCCCGACCATCCCATCTCCACGACCCCCCCACCTAATCCAACCCAACCCCAACCCCAACAAACCCCTTTCTCTAACAAAAAAAAACAAAAAAAACCAGCAAACTCAAAACCCAACGCGCCCAAATCCGCACCCGCTACGCCATCCCCGGCACCCCCAACAACGACTGCCTCGTCTCCTGCTGTTGCTGGGCGTGTGTGGTGCTGCAGCACGACGAGGAGGTGCGGGCGCGGTTGGAGAGGGGGGATCATGGGGTTAAGGAGGGTGCTGGGGGAGGGTGTCGTGATGGGGGAGTATACGGCGGAGGGGGGATGGTTGCTGGGAATGGGAATGGGGGTGGGGGTGGGGGTTTGATGAGGTGAATGTGGGCTTTGGATTGGGATTTGGATTTGGGTTTGGGTCTGGGTCCAGATCGAGGGGGGTGGGCGGGTGTTTCAGTTGAAGATGGTGTTGTTGGTGGCTTCGTGCGTTTTGCTTTTCCCTGGGAATCGGAGGTGAAGACAGGGGTAAGGGGGGAAAGGGGAAGGGGTTGCAGCTTGAGAGTGAGGCGGTTGGTAGATTGGTTGGGTGTTTACCTATGTGACGTTCTTGTCGGGTTGTTGGATAACTAATACTTTTTCATTTTCGTTTTTCTTTTCTTTTTTTCGTTTATAATCATATACCCTGAATCCTATTCCGTGTTACATCAACTCGCGCACATTGGTGCTGACGCGCTAACCGCATGGCGATCGCTGGTTGGGGGCGACGCGCCAACGAGAGCACGCGGCACGCAACTGAGGATAAAAGTTCACCCCAACCTCAATTTCTTTTCTCAACTCCCATTCAAGCCCGCCAACAACATGGCGCAGGAGTCGCTCACCTCGCCAGAGACGCTCTTCGGCGGACGCGCCGCCTTTACGGCCGCGGCCTTACTGCTGCCGCTCATTCTCACCTACGCTTTCACAGCGCTCAGCGCGCACTGGAGCAGGCATGTGCGCGGCAGCGGTGACCCCCCGCCGGTGCCCTACACCATACCAGGCATAGCCAACACATTGCAGTTCGCCTACGACACGGAGGGGTTTCTCACCAAAACGCTGTAAGCCGCCCTTCCCGTCAAATATTTGTATACAGCCGCTCACACCACCCCAGCAAACGCTTCGGCAGCGTGCCCTTCCGGCTCAACGTCGGCTTCGAAAACATGTACTACATACCCCACGGCGAAGCCGTGCAGGCCATGTTCCGGGCGGCGCGCGAACTGTCGATGAAGCCGATCATCGTGGTAGCGATGCGCGACCAGTTCGGGATGCGGCCGGCGGACGTGGCCGTGTTTGAGCGCGACGGCTCCGGCGACACGGCCAAGCCGCTCGACGGCTGGGAGCACATGGACCCGGCCCACCGCGTCTTGTACAACCAGCACCGCGACCTGGCCGCCATGCTTAGTGGTGCGCCGCTGGATGGCATGGTGCGCCGGTTTACGGACAATTACGCGGCGCAGCTGCGGAAGCCCGCGGTGGAGGTGGGGGAGGACTGGGTGGAGCTGCCGGATTTGTATGCGTTTCTACGAGGGGAGATGTTCCATGCCGCGTGTGAGGGTCTGCTTGGGGAGCGCATCTTCGAGGTGTGCCCGGATTTTTCGCGCGAGTTTTGGGAGTTTGACACGCACTTGATCACCTACCTGCGCCGGACGCCGCGCTGGATGGCCCCGAGGGCATATGCCGCCCGTGACAAGGTGCTGGCGTCGCTGCAGAAGTGGTACGAGCACGCCCGCGCGGAGCTCGACTACCGCGACCCGGCCCTGGCTGGCGTCGAGTACGAGCCCATTTGGGGCTCCCGCTTGATGCGGATGCGCGCTGAGATGTTTGACAACGCTGGCTTCTCGCTGGAGGGCTGCGTGAGCATGGACTTGGGTTTCCTGTGGGCGTCCAACGCCAACGTGATCCCTGCGACGGGCTGGGTGCTGCTGAACGTGCTGCTCTCGGAGAACCTGAAGGAGCGCGTGACGGCTGAGTTGGCTGAGTGCTTTGACGAGGGCAAGGATGCCTTCGACGTGTCGGCGCTGTGCAGCAAGCCGCTGCTGAACGGCGTCTACCTCGAGTCGCTGCGTTTCTGTGCCGCCACCACCTCAGCCCGCAACCCCGTGACGGACGACTTCAAGCTGCGCGGGTGGGCCATGCCGCGGGACTCGCTGATGCTGTCGATTGTCTGGTTTGGCGCGCACGACCCCAAGTTCTGGAACCAGGGGCGCATCGGCCGGGACGGGAAGCCCGAGCACCCGCTTGACAAGTACTGGGCCGAGCGGTTCCTCGAGTACCCCGACGACCCTGCCAGCGGCCCGGTGCGCAAGTCGGATGAAGTGATGAACTCCGCACCTTCCAAGCCGGGGGAGAAAACTTCCGAGGACGACAAAACGGCGAAACCCATCAACCACACTGCCGCTCTGCAGGGTTACTTCTACCCCTACGGCGGCGGCAGCAGGATTTGCCCGGGCCGGCACCTGGCCAAGCAGGAGATGTTGGTTGCGGTGGCCGGCATAATGAAGGAGTTTGAGATTGAGCTGCTCGATCCTGTTTCGGCACGACAGGCGAAGCCCGACATGAGAGTGTTCCCGACGGGTGCCATGGGTCCAGATCGGAAACTGCCGGCGAGGATACGAAGGCGGAAACGGTGGTAGAGACGGGATGGTCGCAATTGGCTAAAGGGAATGGAAAATTGGATCGGTTAATGGTTAATACCTAATACCTCGGATAGATGTGTGCTGTGATTTGGATTATGTGGGCGAGGGGAACAGAATCTCATTCAAAGATCTAGAGGCAACCAGGCGGCTCAGCGGTGTTCTTATTAATGTATTTTAAAAATTCCAAGCCAAGAGTGCCCATCGCTCCCTGGTGGGCACGTTCCTGTGATGCCATTTCTGAGTGAGACCCACAAAAACATCGGGAGCAAAAGGATTCGGGTCGAAAAAGAATGGTGTGCGGTTTATGTGGATCGAACACATGACCTTCAGATTTGTAGTTCCCGAAGTTTTACTTCAGTCTGACGCTCTCCCAACTGAGCTAAACCCGCATCTGATTTGATGAAGTTTGCGATGTGGTTGAGTGGATATGACTCACAGAACGCCGGCGGTCGACCACCTTGACCTGCGCAACCCTATTGTGACCAACACCATGTTCAACGATCTAACGCAATTACCATGTATTTACTGCTCTAACCACAAACAAAGTATACCAACCCAACGCCAAACTTCAACTCCACCACCGCCTATTCCTTCTTCTTCTCCCTGCCCGCCTTCGCCGCCTCCTTCCTCCGCTTCAACCACGTCTTCAACTCATTCAACAGCCCCATGACCAACGGCACCGCCACGGGCCCCAGAAGCGGCAGGTAAACCGCAATCTTGTGCTCGTCGGGGAAGTACAGTTGGCCGACCATGCTCTTCTCGAAAAAGGCGCGCTCGGCCTCGGCCTCGGCGATGCGCGCGTGCGCCAGGCCCTCGGGCCCGCCCAGCGTCTCGCACGCCAGCCGCAGGTGGTGCATCGTCTTGGACACGCCGTCGGCGACGCGGCTCGGGATGGAGATGGACGGGAGCGCGAGGGCCAGGCGTGCGAGGGAACCGAGCGTCGACGACGCGCGCAGGAGGAGGTCGGCGGAGCGGATGCGGGAGAGAGTGGAGAGGCGGAGGGGTAGCGAGCCGGATTGCGGCGTGCCGGTGAGTGAGAGCAGGTGCGACGTGAAGGTGAGCAGCGGTTGTTTGAGTGCCTCGGCCGAGAGGTGGCTCGTGTCGTTGGGGAGAGGGAGCAGGTAGACGGTGCCCCATTGTGGCATCATCCACGAATGGGATGAGGGGCCGGGCTCGCCATCTTCCCCAGCGCTTTGCGCAGGGGCGGCAATTGTCTGGTGCCCGACAAAGACGATAAAGTTAACCGTGGGCGCGCCCCCAATGGATGGTGATAGCGGCCACTCGGCGGCGTTGATAAACGAGGAGAGATCCTCCTTGTTGAGCACCTGGTTCTGAACCCCCGGCGTCGCATAAAGCTGTACCTGCGTGTCGATCGTAAAGTTGTGGATCGGCGAAAGTACATCGAGCACGGGCTTCATATACTCGCCGATCGCCCCATCGATGTCCCAGCTGCTCGGTAGCGGCCCGCTTGTAAACAGCGAGAATGTGAGGTGGTAGGTCGGCGCATACTTCAACGATCGGGTGGTGCGCTTGGAAAGCGAGTCGGATATTTCTGATGACAGTCCTTGCGGCCGATGATCCGAAGGGATCGAATTGGCCGATAGCAGGTACGAAATCGTGGCCTGCTCCTCGGCGAAGGTTGACCGCAGCTGGCTAGCTACGTACGTGGCAAGGGGCGAAGACGAAGAGGTCGGCGACGGGATAGCATTCGACGGATATGTGATGTCGAGGATCGGCTCGTGCGGATCGAACTTGGCCGTGGTCGCGTCGCCGGGAACTAGCCGGATCGTCAAGACGCTCTCACGGTCGCGTTGTTCAGCCGCAGACGGCGGGGCCAGCTGCAGCCGCAAGTGGTGGCCGGAGAAGTCATTGAGGTCGTCGAGGGCGTGTTGTGTGAGGCGGAGGAGGTTCTGGGCCTCTTGTTCTTGGAGCGCATTGGCTTGGATGGAGATACGGAGGGGGAATACTGGTCGACAAGCCTAGAGCGAGAAAGAGCAAGGTCAGCACGCAGCCACCCTACGCAAGCCATTCCCAAGACCAACGAGGAGACAATACACACCTTCCCGTCAGACCAATCCAGCATCTCCTGAAGAGGGAGGTCGGCACGGTAGATAGTGGTCGTCTTCCACCATATTGGCAAACCGAGAAGGACCACGATCAGCCAAAACGAGAGGATAATGTAACTACGTCGCCGTATGTCGGACGGTTTCTCGGGCGGTGGCTCCTTTTTAGGTTGCGCTCCATCTTTGGTGTTGATGTTTGTGTTGGAAGTTACCGGATCCGAACTGACGACCGGGCTTTTGAAGTGCCCCGCACCATTGTCGGGCGGCTGTTGAATCGACATGGCGATGGAAAACGGGTTGCCCATCCATCGACAGTCGGGTCGCGCCGAACACGCTTCAGCCAACGCCCCCTGTGTCCTGCCAAGAAGCGACTCGCAGGGCCGTGCCAAACCCAGACTAGCGTTGCACGTGAAGATAACGAACGAGCTGAAACCTTGACGAGCCTGACCGATAACTCACTCTCCAAAAATCTCCTTGGCTTTGCCTCTGTCGGCTTCACATGACGCCTATCAATTCACTGACTGGCTGACAAGTCCCGAGGTAATTTGTCTGGGCCAACCCTGCACAAGCCAGCGAGCAGAACTGCATTCGCTGTCCCCGAGTTCTCGCATTCTCCTTCCAGCATTTGACGACAGAGCCACATTTACACCATCGATACAACGTGGAAATACAGAAATAATATGATGGAGGAAGACAGGTGGCCCCTCATTTCTGGTCTGGTAACTCCAAAAGATCGGACTCAATCGGCTCTCAATCATTCAGCCAATCCCCATTTGTGAAGTTGCCCCGCCTGCCCACAGGTTCAGCCTTTGAGACTGCTGCTTGCTGAAAGGTGTCGTCATGCCTGGCTTTCGCGTCTGCTGGCCCTGGATCTGCATTCGCAATGAGCCGAGGCACGATACCGCCTTATGCAACCCGTGCCGCATCCCGCTCAGCTCGCGAGCCTGCAAGTGCCCGCCAACCCTGCATTGTTTTAACAGAACGGACAACTGTCGTTGGCAGGTATGTACATGGTATGGACCCGTGGGACCCGTGGGACCCGTGGAAGCGCGCGTGGGTTTCGGAATTCTTCATTCCAAGTGCTGCCCTCGCCCGCCATCGCTACCCCAATCCGGAACAATGCTGGCGTTCCCCAGTCTTGATCCCTGTTCGTCGGTGTTTGTCTCCCAGGCCCGTCCCCGATGGGTTCAGATAAAACGCTAGGAATTGCCGCGGTCAACCAGCGTCGCGAGCTTAAAGTCTCCCACTCTCCATCTTCTCCATCCTTCGCCCTATCCTGACGTCTCCATTTCCTAGAGGCGCTATTTCTTTGATACCCATGCGCCGCGCCCCGAAGTTCGGGCCGAGCTTTTAGTCTATTCTGTTTCTCATTTAGTATTAATAGCACCAAACCTGGCTGGGTTGCTCGAAAATGTCTTCCCGTGAGTGGTGTGGCGGCCATGGCAGTCATTGAACCCTTTTTCCATCGGTCGAGAGAGCCCGGATTAACATAATAGTGCCTCTACCTCTTCCCGTTGCTCTCCCGGCCTTGGCTGCGGTGGCAGCTTACATCAATGGGAAGGCCCTTGTCTCGTACGATGTTGCACTCCTGGGATCCCTCCTCCCGACTCTCGCCAAAGTGGCGTGGTGGACCAACCGAGGGCGACTCAACTTCTTTTACCGCCTCGAGGACCTGGCCACTTCCAAATCCTCTGCAAACCGCGTCTTTATACGCTTCGAGGACAAGACCTACACCTACGCACAGGGGTACGACACGGTGCTGCGTTATGCGACCTGGCTGAAGGAGCGACGAGGAATCAAGAAAGGGGATATGGTGGCGCTGGACTTCCAAAACACCGACACCCTTCTTTTTCTCCTCTTTGCGACCTGGGCGCTGGGTGCCGTGCCGGCGCTCATCAACTACAACTTGACCGGCAAACCCCTGGCGCATTGCGTGAAGAAGGCGACAGCCCGCCTCGTCCTCATTGATCCCGTAGTTGCCGGGAATGTCGGGGAGGACGTGCGCTCAGAGCTGGACCAAGTCACGTTCGAGGTTGTCACACCAGAACTCGAGACCCAGATGCTGTCACATGAGCCCACCCGGCCTCCCGATGACTTGCGGGCCGATGCCACCGGTGATAGCATGGGCATCCTCATCTTTACAAGCGGGACCACCGGGTTGCCCAAAGCGGCGATCGTGTCGTGGTCCAAGATCACGGTAGTTGGCGGCTTCACATCCCGCTGGATCGGGACGGGCAAGAACGACGTGTTCTACACCGTGAGTCCACTTCCCCCCCTCGCCGCGGGTGCTTTCCAACCTTCCTCCATCTCACTCACGGATAACAGGCGATGCCGCTGTACCACAGCACGGCGATGCTTCTCGGCTTTGCACACACCGTCTCAGTCGGCGGCACCTTCGCCATGAGTCGCAAATTCTCGACCAGCGGGTTCTGGGACGACGTGCGCAAGCACCGTGCCAACATCATCCAATACGTCGGCGAAACGTGCCGCTACCTCCTCTCCGCACCACCACGCATCGACCCCGCTACGGGCGCCAACCTCGACCGCCAGCACCACGTCCGCGTCGCCTTCGGCAACGGCCTCCGCCCCGACGTATGGAACCAGTTCAAGCAGCGCTTCGGCATTGACACCATCGCCGAGTTCTACGGCGCCACCGAGGGCAGCTTCGCGACCTGGAACCTCAGCCGCAACGACTACAGCATGGGCGCCATCGGGCGCAGCGGCTCCCTCTACAACCTCATCCTCGGCCGCTCGGTCGCGCTCGCCGCCGTCGACCACGAGACGGAGCTGCCCTTCCGCGACCCGCGCACGGGGCTCTGCCGGCGTGCGCCCGACGGCGAGCCCGGCGAGCTGCTGTTCCGGCTGCCGCCGGCGGATGTGGAGTCGCGCTTCCAGGGGTACTACGGCGATCGCGAGGCGACGGGCAAGAAGATCATGCGGGACGTGTTTGCGCGCGGCGATGCCTGGTTCCGCACGGGCGATGTCGTCCGCTGGGATGCGGAGGGTCGCGTGTTCTTTAATGATCGCATTGGCGATACCTTCCGCTGGAAGAGCGAGAACGTCTCCACGGCTGAGGTCGCGCTGGTGGTGGGCACGCACCCGGCGGTGCTTGAGGCCAATGTGTATGGTGTTGAGCTGCCCCACCACGAGGGCCGTGCTGGTTGCGCGGCGGTTGCGTTCCGGCCGGTGGATGGGGACGGAGATGGTGGTGCGGCGGCCGGGCCGAGTGAGAAGACGCTCAAGACGCTGGCGGCGCACGTGCGCGCCGGGTTGCCCAAGTATGCGCTGCCGTTGTTCGTGCGGGTGGTGAAGGGCGAGGGTGCGCAGTCGACGGGGACGAACAAGCAGCAGAAGACGGGGTTGCGGAGTGAGGGCGTCGATCCGGCCAAGACGGGGTCGGACGATGTGTTTTGGTTGAGGGGGGATTCCTATGTGAAGTTTGGGCCTGCTGACTGGAAGGCCCTGCAAGGCGGGAAGGTCAAGCTCTGAGATTAGCTACTGCAGCTATTACACCGTGGAGATGCATCACACTTGCCTTTAACTCATAGTATACCCTGTAGAATGGATAGGCGGTGGTATATTTAGAATCATATTGAGACGTTAAATACAATCCCTGCATTTCTTCCTTTTTCTGGTGCTCCGGGATCGGGGCCGCTTCCCTAACGACATGTATGTACTGTTGAAGCCCAGTGCAGCAAGCGGCAGCTCTCCAGATACCCATCAAGGTTCTCGCCCACCGTGCGAGAAAGTACCGAAATGATACAACTCCAAAGCTGACGTCGAAATAGAACCGCGTATCCACTGCAGGTCCGCCATTCACAGAAAGAAGCGCGCCGTCAAGTGAGCTTCTGAGGCTCGTCAACCAGGCGGCAACCCCCACCAAATACAGATGTACCGAGCCTCAAGAATCAGCGGGTTGCGCGAACCTGCAGCAGATGACATGATACTCCACAGCCAATGAGACACGTCATTGATCGCGCAATGGGACGCCAATCCCAATCAGGGCGCAGAGGGGCAGCGATACCCCACGGCAAGCTGATGGAGGGGTCAACTGCCCCGCGTTGCGGCGCCGGGAACGTCACCAGGAGCTTCTTTGGGCTTCGGAGATGGCCAAGTCGGCGACTGGTCGGCCATTGTGTGCAGGGAAAAGACGGATGAGGCCAAGGAGTGACAGGCGGTTTATTAATGCAGGCGGTTGGAATTTCTTTGGCGCCTCGTGGGGACAGATCGCCGGGGGAAGGGGCAGTTGAGGTCTTAAATCTGCTGCTGCCCCTCATTGCCCTCAGTCTTTCGATCCAAACTTTACTTACCTATCCCAAGCTGCTTCCCGCTCGTACCATCCCGCGACGGCCTGCATTTCATTCCAATCTATTTTGTGATACCCAACCATCAATACAACTTTGATACCCCAAAACCGACAAAATGGCCTCCGAGCGTCAATCAGCACCGTATGTGCCTCCATGCGCTGTTTCTGGCGAACAACACGGTCACCCGCGTTGGACCACAGTCATGCCACGGTCCATTGCTAACATACGCCTTGTAGCCTCCGCCTGGGCTCCATTGCCCCCAACTTCCAGGCCGAGACCACCAAGGGCCCCATCGACTTCCATGAGTTCATCGGCGACAACTGGGTCATCCTGTTCTCCCACCCCGAGGACTACACCCCCGTGTGCACCACCGAGCTCGGCGAGATGGCCCGTCTCGAGCCCGAGTTTGCGAAGCGCGGCGTCAAGCTGATCGGTCTCTCGGCCAACACCCTAGGCAGCCACGAGGGCTGGATCAAGGATATTGATGAGGTGACGGGCTCGCTCGTCGGGTTCCCCATTCTCGCCGACAAGGAGCGCAAGATTGCCTACCTCTACGACATGTGAGCTTTGATGGAACATGTTTCTTGGCCTCTTCAAAAAATGCTAACAGGGTGTGCCAGGATCGACTACCAAGACACCACCAACGTGGACGAGAAGGGCATTGCCTTCACGATCCGCTCCGTCTTCGTCATCGACCCCAAGAAGACCATCCGCACCATCCTGTCGTACCCGGCCTCGACCGGCCGCAACAGCGCCGAGATCCTCCGCATTGTCGACTCGCTCCAGACTGGCGACAAGCACAAGGTCACCACCCCGATCAACTGGGTGCCTGGTGACGATGTCATCGTCCACCCTACCATCAAGGGCGAGCAGGCCACCACTCTCTTCCCTAACATGCGCGTGGTTAAGCCGTACCTGCGCTTCACCCCGCTGCCCAAGGATGCTTAAATGCTGGGCGGTGGAGAGTGCGATGCAAGAGGGATAATAAGATGGTCACGCTAATGCTCGAAGGATGCCGCACCATGGGCGAAATACCTAAACCCCATGGATGTTTTTATATGGCTTTAAAAATTCTGCCATCTAACTGGAATATTGCGGATGCTTGGAAGGCGTTGGCGGGCATGGCTTTTTGTGTGCGTGCCGTTGAGCTAGCAACAAGAAATTGACGATCTTCTCCCAAACCCTTTCTTTTTGACACTCGAGTGGCTCTCATCCCCGTCTCTTCCACGTGGCGTTGCCGGCTCCCCGTGCAGTTAGCGTCGTCGCTTGCTTCCGCTGGTCGGTGGCATTCCTTCCGCTGAAACATCGAGATAAGTCAAAACAAGAGCCAAGTTCTTGCTTCCTCTCGCCATCTCCGAATAGACAGGGGGATGCGCAATATGGAGATGGTGTCCATTACGATGGGTATTTGTTTCGGGTGCCTGCCTGCCGCCAATTCGGGTCGTTGTTTCGAGTCAGGACGCCCAGCCAATAATTGATCTGTGCTCCACCCCACAACCAGGCGCCCAAAGAGAGCAGCCACTGGCAGCGCGAGCCGGATCCCTTCTTCCAACCCCACATTCCTCCCAGGAGCACGGAAAGCCTCGTGCGGTCCTTCCGTGTCGTCTCAACGATTTGGCGTTGGTCCCTCGTGGTAGCGCGGCTTCGCAACCTTCTTTCAACATCTCGCATTGTCCGACTTGCTCAACTCTTCGCCTGCTGACCGTCCGTGTCCCGCGACGACCCCGGCTCCGATATTTCACGATTTCGGCCTTGCCGCTTGCGAACCTCGTCCGCGAGTCCACTCATTTCTCGACTGGCGCGAACCCCCCTTTCTCACGCTCGCGCACCCCGAAAAGGTCGTCCGTCCGTGCGGTGCACTTTGCTTTGACTGAGCAACCTGTGGACGGACCACTCGTCTTCCTCTCCTCCACCGTCTCTCTCGTTGCGGCACGATCTACTTGCTTCGGATTCCCAAATCCAACCTAGAATTGATTGGTGAAATATCTTATCGGGTACGTGCGTGCGCATCTTCGGACTCTCTCTCCCCCTCCAGATCTTGTCGCCGCCCGCTCTCTCCCGCCGGCACCCTTCCGATTCATCATCACCCCGGTCGCCATGCCTTTTTGTGCGGGCAAGAATTCTACCCCCCTGGCCTCGCTTACACACTCCGCGAATTTTCCTATTGTCACTCTACCCCGTTACTCCCTCCTCTGCCCCATTTGACAAAGATCGCTGGGTGGATACGCCGCGACTCGGGAGAGCCCCAGGCGCCGGAGGGAGCCGCAACCATGGACCTCCCCGGCGCATGCCTGGCCCGCCCCGGTCGGTCCCTTTGACCCGTCAGTCCACCAGGATCAGGAGCCGTGGACCTGGGCTGACGGTTGCGTCCTGCCTCCCGGCTGTGCCTCCGTGCGTGCGACAACCCCAAAACTGCCTTTCTGGAACTTCTTATCTCCTATACCTTGCTTTACCACGTTTGCGCGGTGCTGTCCCCTTCTTGTATACCATACTTTGACTTCGGCTTCACATTTTTGTCCCGTCACGACTTGTCGGCTGCGCCGGATTTTCACCCACTTCGTCCTATCCCCAAAACACCGGAATATTTTCTCTTGTTTTTCCGCTTTCATTCTGGCTCGTTGTGCCGCTTTTTGCCGCGTAGCACTTTTTAGCACGCGTCCAAGATGTCGTATAGACTAACCCCCGGTGAATCAAGCCAGCAGCAGGCGGGGTTCGACGACTACTTTGGCCGCCGCTCTGATTCGGAGTCTGAAGACCGACTAGCTTCCAAGTCATCCTCCGATATCCTATCCTCGGCCTTTCGTGGCATCAAGAGGATTGCGCCTGGTAGACCACCCAAACTTTCCCTGCGCCGACCCGCCGAGTCAAGCGTGCCCTCTTCGCTCGAAAACTCCCCGATCTCCGCGCCCCTCCTATCCCGAGGCACTCGCACGCCGCTGCCCCAACATGCGCGAAGCCTAAGCCTGCAGATAGTCTCTCGAAACCACTGCCAGAACGACCGCCGCCGCAGCTTTCACTCCCGAGTCCTTTGACTCCCCTGGTCCCTCCCCGGCAGTCAAGTTTGGCCACAATTCTTGACACCGAAACCGACGAGGAAAACCGAGTAAACATCATGGATTCGTTATCGTCCATGGATATGGGCGGCGGGCTATATGCTCGAGGACAGGCCGGCCACGGTCCAGACTCGAGCATCATAGCAGCCAGAGCAGCTTGGCGAGCTCATCCCGA